GACCAGGATGGTCTCGATCTCTTGACCTTGTGATCCACCCGCCTCGGCCTCCCAAAGTGCTGGGATTACAGGCTTGAGCCACCGCGCCCGGCGGCCTTTTGTTTTTTTGTATGAGATAGAGTCTCACTCTGTTGCCAGGCTGGAGTACAGTGGCACAAGCTTGGCACACTGCCCTCTACCTCCTGAGTTCAGGGGATTCTCTTGCCTCAGCCTCCCAAGTAGCTGGGACTACAGGCGAGCCCCACCACACCCAGATAATTTTTGTCTTTTTACTAAAGGCAGAGTTTCACCATGTTGGCCAGGATGCTCTCAATCTCTTGACCTAGTGATCCGCCTGCCTTGGCCTCCCAAGTGCTGGGATTACAGGCATGAGCCACCGCGCCCGGCCACAGTTTTTAGATTGTGACCTTTCTTTCTTTAAAGCCACCATGGACGTTGCCATCTTGGAAGACACCACCCTTCCTCTGGCTCATCTAGATACTGAGTATCGCCTCGTGTCAAAAGTAATATCCAACACTTCTACAGAGATAGCCCCTGTGTTGATTTTTATTTGTAACTTTCTTCCATTGTCTACAGAAAGGGAAATCCACACTTATTTAGAAGGTATTGTCAGCTCTTACAGAGTAATATAATAAAATGCAATTAGGGAGACATACCTAGTTTTCTTCCTAATATCCCTAAATCCCCCAAAATACCTTAACATGGATCTGCCAGAACCCTCCCTTCAGTCAAATCAATACAATTCTCTCCTTTTCTCATTTTATGTAAAGTTGATACCTCTCCCTGTATGCACTTGGTAAAATGTGTTTTTCAGACACAGTTCGCCTGAAAAACCTCTCCCTGGATCTCCCAGAATGTCCATTTAAATTAAATGGATTTATACCTCTCTTTTTGTCATTTGTGTGAAGATAATGGCTCTCCCCATGACTTCTTGGTGAAATGTGTTTTCTCATATCAGGAAAGGTTGACATTCAGGGATGTGGCCATAGAATTCTCTCAGGAGGAGTGGAAGTGCCTGGACCCTGCTCAGAGGACTTTATACAGGAACGTGATGTTGGAGAATTACAGGAACCTGGTCTCCCTGGGTGAGGACAACTTCCCTCAGAAGCGGGAATCTGCTCTGCTGTATCTCTGCATGTTTCCTTGTGTGACTCTTGGGAGCCCCTGCATTTCTCAATTAAGACTGAAGCTGTGTTAATTCTCAGATGAAAAGCTTCATAGTACAGCATCTGGACTTGTCTACTTTGGGTCGGGCGTGGTGGCTCACGCCTGTAATCCCAGCACTTTGGGAGGCCAAGGCAGGCAGATCAACTGAGGTCAGGAGTTTGAGAGCAGCCTGGCCAACTTGGTGAAACCCTGTCTCTACTAAAAATACAAAAAATTTGCCAGGCATGGTGCCAGGTACCTGGAGTCTCAGCTACTTGGGAGGCTGAGGCAGGAGAATCGCTTGAACCTGGGAGTTACAGGTAGCAGTGAGCCAAGATCGTGCCATTGCACTCCAGTCTGGGCAATAAGAGTAAAACTTCATC